AATTGATTCAATACACTTACCCCACTTAAGCCAAATGTAAACCCAAGAAGATGTAGAATGTTGCTCTCCTGTAGTTTAGCATCAGCCATATTGATGACAAGCAGTAAAGGTTCTCTATACTGATTAAATGAAAGCAACTTTGGAGGCATTAAGATTTATAAGACGTTTCTTGTCCGAGTTGATCACTGATTGGAGGTCATTTTCAAGAGCAATTGTCAGATTTGCTTTGTCAGGTCTGTCATACTTGCTACTAAAACAAGAGTAAATGGCTGTTTGATCTGCATAATTACCTCATTGGGAATAGATGACATCGAGAAAGTCATTGATGAAGATCAGAAACAGTGTAGGTCCAATTATAGAATCCTATGGACCCCTGCATTAGTATGAAATGATATGGAAGCATGCCTGTTCAATACGATCTTCATTACACAATTTGTTAAGAATAATTAGATTAAGCCAAACATTCATCCATAACACTGTAGTCCTTGAGCTTGCAGAGAAGGTCAGCATGCCAAACCATGTTGAATGCGTTTGTGATATCTAGAGCCACAGCATGAGCTTCTGCATTCTTATCTAAAGCTTGATAGCCAAATTCAATTATGGTTAACGCTATAGTCATAGACCTGTTGAAATGGAAGCCATATTGTTTGTTCAAAAGGAGTACATGCAAAGTAAGTTGCTTAACCAATACCATATTGATTAAAGTCTCAAGTACTTTGCCAAAAAGAGGTAAGAGACTAATAGACAAACTGAGAGAGACGGAGGGTTCTCCAGACTTCATTTAAAACTGGAACTAAAGAGGAGGACTTCCAACATGCTGGAAAGTAGGGAGCAGTAAAGTTTGGAGAAAACAGGACCCAGCTTGCTTAACCCTAGACTTAAATAGGGTTAAGATTGCAGCGATCAGAGAAGCATCCTCTTCAGTTCCACAAAGTAATGGTTCATGAGAAGCTGTTCAAGTGGAAATTCCATCTCACCAACAGAAGATGAAAGGAATGAGGGTGGTGTACTAAAATCTGCATGATGTGGTGGGTCTTAGCCATGAAGATAGTTCATCTGAATACTTTCTATGGAAATGGTGATGAATAGCACGAGTCTTGCAAAATTTTGTCTGGCAAAGTAGTTGCAGGGTGGAAAATAATTAATCACCCACAAGGCTGTGTAGTTGCTTTTGGACTTTATCAAAACTGGGTAAGGAAGACTGGGTAGCTCCTATCCATATATCGCAGCGGTACCTCATTTTCAGCCTGATCTGGCACTTGTAGAGGATATCAGGAGCAGTCTGGTACTTAATGGAATGGTACAGTGAACCAAGAATTTTTTCAAGCATCTTTAGTGATGAATTGTTTGTATGACTTCCACTTGAGGTCTGGGTTAAGTTTAAGTTACAATAGGCGCTCAAGGCATGGGGGATTCCCTGAGATTCAACCTATTCATCACAATCGGTAAGAATTGAGATGCAAATTCTGAAGTGCAAACAGTTGCCATGAAGACAAATTATAAAATGCTGAAGAGTAAGGAATAATTTTTTTTTTGTTTTCTTCATCTTCTTCCATTTTTATTATCTTTTTCATTTTTTTCTTTTTTTGTTTTTTTTCCGTTTTTGTTGTTTTCTCCATTTTTTTTTTTTTTTTTTTCTTTTTTTTTTTTCTCTTTTTTTTTCTCCGATTTTTTTTTTTTTCTTGCATTTTTTTTTTGTCTCCGATTTTTTTTTTTTTTTTTTTTCGTTCTCTTCTTTTTTCTTTGTCTTCTGCATTTTTTTCTTTTTCTGCTTTTTTTCTTTCTCTTCTCCTTTTTTTTCTTTCTCTTCTCCTTTTTTTTTTCTTTCTCTTCTCATTTTTTTTTTCTTTCTCTTTTCCTTTTTTTTTTCTTTCTCTCCTTTTTTCTTTTTTTTTTTTCTCCTCTCCTTTTTTTTTCTTTCTCCTCTCCTTTTTTTTTCTTTCTCCTCTCCTTTTTTTTTCTTTCTCCTCTCCTTTTTTTTTCTTTCTCTTCTCCTTTTTTTTTCTTTCTCTTCTCCTTTTTTTCTTTCTCTTCTCCTTTTTTTTTCTTTTTTTTTTCTTCTCCTTTTTTTTTTTTCTCTTCTCCTTTTTTTTTCTCTTCTTTTTTTTTTTTTTTTTTTTTTTTCTCTTCTTTTTTTTTTCTCTTCTTTTTTTTTTTCTCTTTCCCTTTTTTTTTCTTTTCTCTTTTTTTTTTCTTTCTCTTCTCCTTTTTTTTTTCTTTCTTTTTTTTTCTCTTCTTTTTTTTTTTCTTTTTTCTTCTCCTTTTTTTTTTTTCTCTTCTCCTTTTTTTTTTCTTTCTCTTCTCCTTTTTTTTTTCTTTCTCTTCTCCTTTTTTTTTTCTTTCTCTTCTCCTTTTTTTTTTTCTTTCTCTTCTCCTTTTTTTTTTTTCTTTCTTGAAGAGGTTAAATCTCTGAAAAGCAGAAACCATTTCACTGGGGTAATAGGTTAGTTTTTCTATTGGCTCCTCATTCTCATGTGAAAGGTTGACAGTGTGATAATTTGGCCTGTAAAAATATTCAACTCATCCAGAATGATAAAAATGATAGGAAAAGAAGACCACAGATAAAGTGTAGATTCCAAATTGTTATATTACGGAAATTGTTGTTTTACAAAAATGGCTTCTGTTTTTTATTTTCTTTTTCTTTTAGTGCAAATGATGAAGCATCGAAAAATTTAAGTGTTAATTTTCAACGATACCAAGCAAGAACTCTTCACTTGAAAGGTTGATACAATACGACTTTCTTGACATTCATTGTGCTATATTTAATTCATGTTCTTAACTAATATATATAAAATAGACGATCAACACAGCATAGTGATTGTCAGTTTCACATGTCAATGTGATCTTTGGTATGATCTCTGCTGATGGTATATAAACATTATTAGAAAAATATTTTACATTACTACACAAACACTTCCATGTTTAAGAATTGAAAATTGGTCCAATTCATCAGGCAATGTTTGGTAACTTATGAAAAAGATTTACTTTTGAAAACAGAAAACAATATGGTAGTTTATTTATGGCATCAAGAAAGTCATTGATGAAGATCAGAAACAGTGTAGGTCCAAGTATAGAATCCTATGGAGCTGGTGGGGACAAGATTTCAAAGTTTTATGGGTATGTTTAGAGTAACCAATCAAAAACCAGGTCAATTCTGAAGCAGATATATATATATATATATATATATATATATATATATATATATATATATATATATATTATTATTACTATATATAGTGTGTATATAATTTTTTTTTGGCAGACTCTGTATATAATGTGTGTGTTTCTATTTGGAAGACATATAATGTAGCTTATTGTGATTCCAAAATAGGAATTTTTAGTTGGTCTTGATATATGAAAGGGATGATAGGATAAGTAAGCGAGATTAAGGAGAACATTATGAGGCAACTGATGCAAATCCCAAAAGAGGACATTACAAGCTTTTTTGAAAAATAAATGGGATGCTGGGATTAGAGGATGAGATTAAGAACATGATGAGGCAACTGATGGCAATCCCAAAAGATTACTTTGTAGACTGATTTAACAAGTGAAAGTGGCATTGTGTAACTGTATCAGGACCCAAGGGAAGTACTTTAAAGGAGACTCAGGTGCCATTGCCCAAGAGAGTCTATTTTTTTTCTCTAATTAAATACTTGAATACTTTCAGAGCAGACTTTGAAAAGTCTTTTACTTCCTTTCTAATCATAGAGTAAATTGCCTAAGTCTGCAATTATATTTTTCTGTCAAAACAAAATTTAAATGCTGTATTTTATTTGCATTAATTTAATTCTGTTGTCTTCAATTTTATCTTCTATGCTGTGTAATATTTTAAGCTGATTTTGTTTGTAATTTACTACAGATATAGGAATTTTGTATATCCCCACAACACACACACACACACACACACACACACACACACACAAAACATTCCAGGGAATTATTCATTATATTAAAAATTGTGAAACTTGTAAACTCTTCTGTTGGGATATAAGAACCATTCAAAGCAAAAATACAGCAGGGCAAACAGTGAGTAACCAACATGAGTCTTCATAAATAGATGACAAAATAAAGAGATGGTAAAGGGTCAAAAGATTCACACTATTGTCCTTAGAAAATGATCCAGTCAGTCATGCTATTAACTTATAGCTGGGGGGAAAAGAGATGGACTCCTATGTTCCCCAAGTGTATTTATGCAAAAATGAATGTAACAAGCTTGACCAGAATTCAAACTTGGCTTGCTGATTTCTATTTCTGAGTTGCTCATCATTACACTTACCTGTTCCTCCATTTAAGATCTTCCCACCTGCCATTTCCACAGGTAATATTAAGAAAACCATTTGTTGGCTGATGCATCAAATATTATTAGAACTTCATCCATGTTTCCTATTTGATCCAGTACAAAACAAGTTTCTTTTTATGCATTTATTGCAATAAAAGGAAAAAGATGTTTACAAACAGAAAGTGAGAGCTGAAATTCTAATATTTTTACAAAGGGGGAGGGGGTTTTATATGCAAATGGATGGATATATAGCTTATAATGTTTATCATTGTAGGAATTGGCAAGGCACATCCAAATTCCTAGTGAGTCTGTTTTGTTTACTTCACACTAATATCCTTGGAAAAGGCAAGAATCTATATTCCTCTAGCTGTGGGTTAAATAGCAAGGTTAACCAAGTTCTCTTGCCTTGTGTGGCAACCAGTCTAGAAGGATAACTCTAAATTCGGCTTATGGCCACATCATGTTTGTTTGGTGGTGTTACTTACTTCCCAATATAAAAGACGATAACTTAAAATCCAATGGAGTTATGTCCCTTGTCTACAACTGGGAAAGTGGCACTTCTGAATCCAATATGGTGATAAGCTGACACGCATGTGGGACTCATGGTTTAAATCCAAACAATCCTTGATGTTCTCAGGCAGTAAAAAGTTATTTTATTATGTGTTAAAATATACTTGTCTTCTATTTTCATTTATTTTTGTTCATCCCTACAAGCTGGGATATAACAATGTTGAAACTCATGTTCCCATAGAATCACTGAAGTTAAGCAACATTGAACCTAGTCAGTACCTAGATGGTTGAATGTTTGGGAATACCAGGTGCTGTCATCTTGAATGTGCAGGTGGTGTAATCGATACTGGCCTGGAATTGTTAACTGGAGAGCAGAGTTCCAATTCCAGTTGGGTTTGTTATATTTTCTTACATGCAGAAACCATTTGGAAAGGTATATATCCACCTCTTCTCCCCCAGATATGGGTTAATTAGTATGACTTGTATTACAAAATCATTATTATGTAAAAAAAAAAAAATTACAATCTAAAAATATTTTCTGACATTAAATCACCTGCAATGGAGTGATAAGCTGTAAAAAACAATCAATCAATGAAATACTGATTAGCTGCAAAGGCATATCTTTAACATTCATTTACATTCTCAGGAATATAAATATATAGAAATGAAAGTGGCCAAAAATGAGGGATCAAATTACATATTGATTGTAATATAGAATTGATCCCCTACTTTATTATTCACTTAATTTCGTGGTGGTTTTATCAAATTCTGATTAGGTATGAATCCACCTCTTTCAGCTATGGGTTAATTATTTAAACTTGTATCCCTAAACCATTATTTTCACCAAAAATCTTCTTACAATCTAAAAATATTTTTTGGCTTTAAATAACCTGCATAATCCATAGAAAATAAATCAATTGATCAACTCTGAATTCCAGAGCTCATCTCTTTTTCAGTATGGATTTGAATTCCAACTTGTCCTTCTCTATCTTGATTTAAACACACAAACACACACATTACTGCAACAGCTGCAGTCCATGTGGCTTACTTATGACCATAATCATTCTCAAGTTTTGGGAATGTGACATGCTTTCAAATCTGGTATAGAACAGAAACTACCTTTTGCTATCTTGTAAAATCAGTTTTCTTTCATTTCCTTCTTTCTGGTTTAATTTAGGTGCAGACATTTTATCTTTTGGTTCCTTCATATCCAGTCAATGTGCAGGTGATGTTGTGGACTCTTCCACAACAAGCCAGTTAACCCCTGCTAGGAAATGCACTATTCCTGTTCTAATTTTCACCATCACAATCTTACAAAATATATAACAAGCATCCATTGGTTAATCACCTTCAATCTAGCTTCCTGATTGGTCAGTTCCAACCAATCAAACTGCCTTCACACGACAAATCTGTTTTACCGCATTTTCCATCTGAGCCAGTCACGTGATTCACGATGATATATAAACAGAACACGTGTAAACTCCCTCAAGTTTCTTTTCATCTCTCACTCACATCTCATTCCTTGCTACCAAGTACCAAGATGTAATCTTCAAGAACTCCCATCTTAACTAATGCAGTCAGACGCTAAAGACCTTTACCAACATTCATGCAAGTACGAACCCTGGAATCTCTTCTGAACTTTTACCAACTTGTATAATACACAATTCCAAACATGCTAAAGAAAGTTTATTCTTCTAAACTACAGTTTAATAATTACTTTCACTTTATGAACTTAGGTACAAATATTACCTAATCTAAGAGACACAACTCTGTCTAACTTTTCAGTTCACATGCATGTATATCAAATATTAATAAATTCAATTGTTATGTTTTGAAACAAGATGTTTATGAATCATTATTTCTCTATCTTGTATTAATTGTTGTGGATGGAAGATTATTGAACACACACAATTTTAAACCTTCTGATAATTCAAACATTCTATTCCTCTCCAAAACACATCACACATCCGCAACAATGTAATGGATAATCGCTCAGAATGAGAAATTGGAAGTAAATTCGAATTCCAATCAGTTTTTTTACATCCATTTATGTGCAAATGCCCTTGGGAAAGGGTATGGATTGGAATGTAAGCCTTGTATCTGGAAAAAAAACAAAAGAACATTGGTACACTATTTACATTATTTGGACTATTGTCCTCCTCTTTGTTGCCATATTTATTACAATGTTTCGATTGTTGTACGCTCTGGCCTTCTTTAGGTGGTTGGTTCCTGAAGAAGGCTGGAGTGTACAATGGCCAAAACGTAATATGATGACAGAGATTAGGACAATAGTCTGAATAATGTAAATAGTGTACATAATAGCTCATCTCAGAAATATAGACAAATACTGAAGAATATTGGTATTCTTAAAATATTGTTAATGTAATATTCATTTGCAAACAAAAAAAAAATTCTTTTTACAATGTAAAATAGGTTTAGGATATAAATAACTCGGGGCTGTGATAAGCTGTCGAAAAACAATCAGTCAATCTTTAAACCCAAGTACATCTGACATGATTCCATTTGGAGTGTTTTAAAAGTTGGTCTGACAAAACAATCCTATCGTAGGGATACAAAAGGCGATTATCTCTCTTTGGTTGAGATGAGACATGTGGGTCATGTGACATCTGCTTAATGACATCATTCCATACAGTGACAAGGGTGGCCAGTTGCTTTCTTTAGCCCAGGCCCCACCCCTCTACAGCCAGGCAGAGACTAAATCTGCTTCCCCAACAGCTTACAAGTATATGGTACTGTCCTAAACATGGCTTCTCCAGACACAGGAATATCTCCATATGATATGTAAGAACATTCTTTTTGTTTCTCCTTACAATTTGCTTTGCTGTGTAGATATATGTGACATATTTTTCTCTGCATGGACAGATGTGCGTATATATATATATATATATATATATATATATACTTATCTTATGCAGTGTTACATTAGAGCATGCACATATTCACGACAAAATTGTGCATTTTTGTTTCAACATCAAAAAAGGAAAACCTTTTTAAACGTCTCATCAGGTGGGGAATCATGGTGTTACTAAAAACTTTTATCCAGAAATACAGTTATCGAAGCAAATATCATCCACTTCTGTAGTAGATATGTACATGTTCTAATGTAACACTGCATAAGTTAAATAAATATTTACGGCTCTATCTTGTGTATTGAACACCGTTTTAAAATTAATGTTCTGAACACTGTAATCATACTGTTCATTCTTCTACACTTTGATATATATATATATATATATATATATATAATCTATAAAAAGAATGTATAAACATAAAAAATGACTTAAATATATAATTTTATAGGGAGAGAGATTTGTGTATGTCTTAGAGGTAATATTAGTCTCTCTGAGAACCAAGCATGTTTGTCATTCATTTTTTTTTCAGCCATTCTGTTCTGTCTGTATGTTATATCATAGGTGTCTGTATGTTATATCATAGGTGTCTGTATGTTATATCATAGATATAATAATGCTCATAACAGAGGGAAAACAAATAATAGAATAATTCTTCCTACCATAGCTCTCTCCCATTACATTATTAAAGATTATGAGATTCCAAAACACTGCCTGGAGATATACGGGATAATATTTTTGCCAGTTTATATAATTCTACAATAAAGACTGCTTTTTTTTTATCATTCTTTAAACTCGGTGTTCTTGTTTTTTTTTTTTTTTTGTTTAATGCTAATATTTCATTCTACAGGGTTGTTTCCCAACCCACCACCTTTTTGTTTAATCACAATGTTCGATTGTTCTCACTGAACTTTTGATATTTCCAGTTCGAGGTGGCTAATTAACACATAGAAATGTGTCCTTCCTTTGCTCTCTTAAAGTTAGAATAATCAATTTCCTATCTTATCCGTGAACTGCATCCAGTTTTGGCATGCCAGAGATTTTCTATGCAAAAATTGAAATTGTTATCAAATGTAATCCAGAAAATTCTTGTGTTTTCAGTGTTCGATTTATTTAATCGGAAATTGATTCCTAAAAAATAAGATTTGTGTACCTGATATTATGAAGTGTTGAACTTGACAGAAAGAGTTCCCAAAGTTATTCAATACATGTTGACCTAGAGTACAAATCAATGATTTACTGGTTATGAAATATTGTCCGAAAAGAATTACATAACTGTTTAGCAGGGAAGCCACTCCATTATGCCATGCATAATAAAGAGGCATAGGTTTTGTGTCAAAGGTTATGGCCCCTGTAGATTTTGCATAGGAAATGTGAATAATGCTTTCCAATAAGCCAAGTATTAACAAACAGGGCATAGAAAATTTGATACACACAGGACAGATTGAAGACAAGAGGGACAGAGAAAAGCAGCTTATAATCTACCTAATAAGTTTGTACAAATGGTAAGCAAAACAGGAATTAGGAGAGATTAGCAAAAAGAAAAGATTTTCTAAGAGCAAAAAAGACACTAAATTGCTGATCCAGGATCATCTACATCCTGAAGGAAAAAAGCACAAAGCACATTTTATGTAAAATATATCATTTGGTAATTCTCTCTCTCTCTCTCTATCTATCTATATATATATATATATATATATACATTTACATTTCATTAAATAATATAGACAATTTTTTCATAACATCTGATAAGTTTAATAACATTATCGTTGAACAAAGAAAGAAATTCACAATATTGATCCATATTTATTTTTTTTAATACATCTAAGCTTTCAGCTTACTTAAGCCATTATCAAAGATGTCAATTACAACATATTTAAGCAACATACAGACAAGACAGTGATGATAGTCTGTCAATGTTTACATAGATGATTTCTAAGCATCGATAAACACGCGTATATAAGACGCTAGAAGCGAAAACCGCACCGCATCTCATGACGTCACACATGACCACACAAGAGGAATTTGGAGAAGTATGGAAAGCTGTTGGTATAAACCAATGGCTTCTGTTACCAATTATAGACATTTAAGAATATTTGTGGAGATGCCATAATTGATTTTGTTTAGGTCAGGTTTCAACTGTTTGATGTATAATGCTTCAAGGATTTTTAGTTTTTGTCTATTGTTTTCATGTCGAAGTATAATTGTGTTTTCAACAAGTATTTTACGAAATTGTGTGTGCGGGCAGGCATGTTGTTTTAAATGCCTAAAAATGTTAGAGTTTTCATTCAAATGTAGTGTCAAGTGAGTTTGTGGTGTGACCAACACAAATATTATTTAATTCGTTGGAGATACAATCTCCCAAAGGGCACTTGAATTTATAAACTATGTTGGTTTTTTGCAAATCGCTAACTGGGGGAGAAGAATCATTGCGAAGAATTAATATAT